ACATCGTCTAGCTCTTGATCCTGATGAGGAGGCCTGTAGTAAAAACCCACAACCAAGTCCTTTTCCCCGGCCCCCCTTGGATCCTGACCCACAATGCCTCGGTGTTCCCCTCTTCCACTCCCGCCTTAATGGTGCAAGATGTATACTGCTCCTTAACATAGAGTGCTCCCCCCACCTTTTCTCCCCACTCTGTGACACCTATACAACCTATACCCCTCAATGCCTACCACCCAGTCATGTGTAGAATCCCACCATGCCTCACTTAGTCTGACTAGGTCGTACTGGGTGCTAGCAAGCAAGAGTGCGAGCCCCTCTTGCTTGTTCCCCATACTCCTGGCGTTTGTATAAAGACTTGGGCAACGTACTTTTTATTAATTCATCTATTTTATCCCATTTTCTGTTTACCTCCAGGAATTTTACTATTCTTTCCTTCAAAATTCCATGAATCCCACCATGCCTCACTTAGTCTGACTAGGTCGTACTGGGTGCTAGCAAGCAAGAGTGCGAGCCCCTCTTGCTTGTTCCCCATACTCCTGGCGTTTGTATAAAGACTTGGGCAACGTACTTTTTATTAATTCATCTATTTTATCCCATTTTCTGTTTACCTCCAGGAATTTTACTATTCTTTCCTTCAAAATTCCATCTGGGGGTCATGATTGACCACAAGATGAACATGAGCCATCAACGTGATGCCACAGCCAGCAAAGCAAATAAAACTGTCTCTTGCATTTACTGATGCATCTCAAGCAAGACCCAAGAAGTCATCCTCCAGCTTGGCTTGGCCTTGGTGAGGCTGCAGCTGGAGTACTGCATCCTATTCTGGGCTTCACACTTTAGCAAAGACATGGAGAAGCTTGAGAGAGTCCAGAGGAGAGCCACACATATGATTACAGGTCAAGAGAGCAGGCCTTATGAGGAGAGGCTGAGAGGTATAGGACTTTTCAGCCTGGAAAAGAGAAGGCTCGGAGGGGAATGGGGGTGCGGGGGGCAGGACTTGGTGGCAGCCTAAAAGTATATAAGGGGTGTGCATCAGGAACTGGGAGAACATCTGTTCACCAGGTCACCCCAAGGGAAGACAAGGTCAAATGGTCACAAACTGCCAGAAGACCATTTTAGACAGGACACAAGGAAAAATGTCTTTACCGTCCGAGTCTCCAGAGTCTGGAATAGACTCCCCCAGAAGTGGTGCAAGCACCCACTTTGGATACCGGCAAGAAATGCCTGGATGCTTATCTTCCTAGGGTCATCTTACCCCAGCTGACTTCCTGCCCTTTGCACAGGGGGCTGGACCCAATAATCTCACAAGGTCCCTTCCAGCCCTAATGTCGATGAACATTTGTTCTGAAGCTCTGTAATTATTAGGGCCAGTTTAACAAGCCAGTAGTTATCCCGATCACAAATCTTTCTTAAATAAGGACACTACTGAAGCTTGCCTAAGTCTATCCCAATCATGCATTTGGTCTAATACCATGTATGTGCTTGCCTCTCAACACTACATTTGCTATTCTCCAGTCATTCAGTACAAACAGAGACTTAATAAACTTATTATAAATAAAAAACTTGATACCATACTTGGAATTCTAGGTTACGTTTGTATCTTGGGGTCCCCCCTCTACACATTACATGTATTATGCAATTACCTGGTTAATTACACAATTTAGACAGGCTACACGTGTGAATTAACTATCATGCCATAAAAAGGTCCATCCAGCTATAAAGTTAGAACTGTAAAATGAGTAATAACTTTATAGGTGCTTTCTATCCAGCTGTAATTTGCAAATGAGTCCCCATCAGTTAATGGGGTCTCCCAGCTCTGGGGAGTGCACCATGTGCTGCTGCAGCTGGGAGTCCTCTCAGCTAATGGGGCTCCCAATTATGACAGCACCATCCGCAGCAGCCTGTGGGGCACTGCAGCAGATGGGAATCTTGTCAGCTGCAAGAGCCTGCTACTTGCCAGTGCAGGTAGAACCCAAGATGGTGATTCCAGGCTTCTTATGCACCAGCAATAAGGCATAATAGGATTTGAAACTGGATCCCACAATCATGCCTCCTGCCATACATATGTGACGGGGCAGGAGGCACGATTGTGTGGATTGTGCATCAGATCCTATCACATCTTCCCCTGAAAGTCTAGAGGGGTCCCTAGTATTGACAGGATCAGGGGCTAATATTACAGAGGATCTCAGATATCTTCAGTTCTTTCTTTATTCTTGGTGAAACTAACACCACTGAAGTAAATAGTGAAACTTCTCAGTGGTGCCAGGATTTCAGTCCTTCATATTTATTATTTGAAATGAAAGCTCTACAGTTGAATGGCTGTTACATGTAAAGAACTGATGGATAAGAAAGAAGTGAATAACTGTAATATAATACAGTGTTCTATAATATATCACATCACTTAGAGTTTCACTATAGCACCTGTTCCTATGCATACAGTTGTAAACAGCATATTCAGTAGCCTAAATACAGTTAATGTTTCAAATCAAAACAAACAGCTACTTGAAATGTAATTTTATTAATGTTTTTCTCCAATCAGGCAAAACTTTAAAAGGTTAGTTTATCTTATGATATAATTCTGACATAAGAGTTTTTGGTTCTGATGCTACTGACAACAGGTATGATAGTATACTATGTGGTACTACTTTATATGCTGCTTGATGAAAGTCTATTTCATTTTTATAGAAGTCACACAACTAATTATTAAAATAATCAAAAAGTATTTATGATTTCATAGAAATCGAGTTTCAAATAAAAGCAGTTAATAATGGAATTAAATCTAGACTCATATTGTACTCAAATACAGGGAAAAGACGTTCCAGACTAGCACCAAAGAAAAAAGTAGCATACTAGAAACAAAAAAATTAACCCTACTTCATAAATCTGATATAAACTGATATTGTATTTTCCAGACGTAAAGTAGTACGTAAACAGTAAACATTAATCAAATTTCGAAAGTTCAAGAACCACCACAACAGCTCAAAAAGTGTCATAATAAAGCAAGATTCATGTTATATGGTATCCAAATCTTACTTCTCTTTCAGAGTATTTTTTTCTTCTGCAAGTCCTAACACACACAGATTTGTCACTTTAGAAATAATGACGTGAGCAGCATTTTCTTACGAGGCTATATCAAATAACTAAAAATGCAAACTTATCATTCAAAAAATCTCAAAACAAAACCAATGCAGAAAAGAATTATATAGGATTTTTAGCTTCAAAAACGGGGAGCAAAAGAGAAACATGGGCAAGATATTTCATACACCCTTGTTTAAGAATGTATTTTTTTATGCTATTGATGGGATAGTACTCCTGCTTATAATAATAGGTTGCTAAGGAATTTATGTGTATGAATATCTGGATGTGACTGGTGAAAAACAGCTGGTTCACTTTTAAAATCTGACTGGAGAAGAATCCCTTAGTATACGATGTAGTACTACTTCATATGCAGTTTGGTGAAAGTCTATTTCATTTTTATAGAAGTTGCATAACTAATTATTAAAATAATCAAAAAGTATTTATGATTTCATAGAAATTGAGTTTCAAATAAAAGGAGTTAATAATGGAATTAAATCTAGACTCATATTGTAGCCAAATACAAGGAAAAGATGAGCTGGGCCTTAATTATGTATGCTTTAGGCTGCATGTTACTTTCTCATCTAATATTGTTTCCCAAATCGGACTCCTAGACTTCAGTAGGAGTTCTGCCAAAGTATGAATGAAGAACATTTAGCTCTAAATTCTCCCAAGAGCTCAATAGCACTGAAATATCTCGTTATGAGGACTGGGTACAGCCTCTCTAACTTAAGGTATTCATTGATGTCAAAGGTGCATAACTACAAAACTTTCTCTCAGCAGCACTCTCTAACAAAAGGTTACCCCCATTAAAGTTCCCGACCTAATTTCCCTTCCACACGCTTCTCTCAAGGAACAGCACACGTTGTGGGAGAAAAAGAATCGTTCAAATTAGAGTGCACAAATAACCTTATTCTATTGTTTAATGGTAGCAGAAGGCATCATTATTGCTCCTGCCCTTTTAATGTCACCAGAATTACTGAGCAACACTTACTCTTAAAACCTAGTGCTCACATTGCAGGCACTACACTTTACTCTGCAATTGATTCCCTAGTTCTTCCTCTCATTTCATTCTTAGCATCAGCAACAGGCCCTTAACCAATTCCTCCAACCGAACCCTACCTCAACTAACTTTTCCCTGTCCCCATCCTCAGCAACTAGATATGATTGAATTTTCAGGTTCCAGACAAATCCTCAAGCCATGCAAAGGTTGGGAGAGCACGGAGGATCATATATATAGAATACACATTTCCTTTGCCATGTAGCATATGCCAAATTTCTGACAAAATCTAAGTTGTAGATCCTGATCAAGGATGAATTAGTGCCTTTATACTTGCTATCCTAAAAAAATAGTATTACGGTACCTTGTTTTAACAAAAAACAAGCACTGTGTGCCTAAAAAGCTCAAATTAGAAAAGAAAAAAAAAGTTATTTAAAGCAGAATAAAAAATAGTAAGAGATCTATATTTTCCCTGTTCATTAGACTGTGTGATGTTACCTACTTACCTTATGTAAACTAAAGTAGTAGCAGTAGTTGCTATAACATTAAGAAATACCTCTTGTCCAGAGCCGACTATTGAGTTAATATCCGTTAATCAGCTTATAATGTTTCTTCCCTTCTATCATCATAGTTTGCATTTCAAATCAACCCTTGTGTATTGTGAAAGTTAGAGCAACAGCCAAAAGAACCAAAATTTAGGGTCTTAATCCTGTGCCCCTTAAAGTCAATGTTCAAAGCCAATTGCAATTTCAGGACATAATGAGTCTAGATCATGTACTATTGATCCAATGATAATGTTGCCAAAAAAACCTCAATGGGAACAGGATTTAGGTCTTATGGAATACAAAGTTGCAACCTATTAAGATTAAAGTTGGTTTCATCAGTTTTTAGGTGAATTTTATAAAGAATATCTTTACTAGTGACATACCTGGGGCAGTGCTGAATTGAGCTGTCGTTGGAGGGAGTCTCTGTCATAGATGACATCCTGAAGGCGTTGCTGTGCGAGTGACAGGCTTTCCTGCGTCTCCCGAAGTGTGTCAAGGAGACGGTCCCTTTCATCCAGCATGTTTACCATCAGCTGCTCAAAGTGAGAATCCGAGTCTGATCCACTACTCTGGGACCCCCGTTGACTCATGGGGGTGTCCTCATTTATCGTTGGCATTACTTCGCACATCATTTCTTTAAAATAAAAAAAAAAGAGGAAAAAATCTTGAGTAGGAAAAAAGGGGGGGAAATTCCAATGAGAGATTAAATCCATCACAGGAACCATTACTTTACTACTGCATTGTTTCTCATCTCAAATTTGTTTTCATTATTAGTCAGGTAATTAACTGGCAGACATAACATTTAAAAATTAATTCCCACTGTACAAATGTTGAATATGATCCTTCACTGGGTGAGGATAGATGTCTTAAAGTTAGTAACTTGATCTGAACAGCATACTTCAAAATCATATCAAAAAGTTTCTTTCCTGGCTTTTGATTCTTTTATCTCTGATATCTCTCTGATTACCTACATCATTTGTGGCTTGTCTGTGTCAATACCAATAACTGCCATTTATTGTTGGGCTTGATCCTCCTGCAGGCTTCTCTGTAGCAGACACCAGCCTGACCAGTGATCCAATTGTATGCTACTTTAATGATGCAAAGTTAATCTATTTTTCTAGCCAGTTATTCCTTCCCTCAGGGGAAACTATTCCCTGGTGATCTCCGAGTAAGAGGTCAAGAAATAGAGACTCGCTGCTAATCACCATCCTTGCAATACCTTATTCAAATTGAATTACTACGGACAAGAATACAATCTTATAAAGCTAATTTGTTCCAATTGTATGGTGGCTTTACAAAGAAACAATTAGTGTCACCTGGTCTAGCTACTCAATTAAAATAATCATATCAAATCCACAGTCTAGATTATGCTTGTGTGGAATCCTGACCCTTAAAACTACTAGATGTTGGTATATCATAAAAAGGAATAAGCAGGACATTGCAGCCCTCAAAAACCCCATGTGACCGAGTTTTGAAACTCAATCCAACTTAAGGTCACACTGGGTGCGTCTACACATGCCTTAAGGCATCATTGCTACTGCGTTGCTACTGTGCATTAAGTTTGCTACTGGACGGTAGCAACAGCGCATGGTCTTTTCGTGACGTTTAATACACAGTAGATTAATTCTACTATGCATCAACACAGCTTTTGCCATTACACATCGATGCTCAGTAGAATTACTGAACTGCACATCAAGCATCTCGTGTAGACATGCTCACTTATAGCCAATACCAAACTCTATGAAAATGTAAAGAGATCACCCAAACCACCATATCTTTGCCCTTCTAACATTGCTTTCATTATGTACAACAGACCTACATTAGATATGTAGCTAAAGATTCTTTTTGTGATAATCTCTCATCTTCAAAAGATCTCGGAGGATTTTTTTCCTTGGGAAAATGGTAGGTTCTAAAAATTTCAGTTTCAGCAGCTGAAGGTTAAAAATCATTCATTGTAGGAGTTTGCCTGTGAGTCAGATATAAAGTGGAATTTCTGGAAGCCTTCTCTATTCTGCCATAAATCCAGCACACACAATCTTTACCTCTTCAATCTTCAGTATTTTAATGGATTAACTCCATTAAGTTAACGGTATCTTTTATCCCAGGCACAGGTAATATGATTGCTGGAATTTTTTAGCTGCTATTTCCTGAGAGAATGTTCTAACGTTATCAAAATGAATTGGTCTTGTCCATGTTTTAAGCATGGACACAGAATTTAAAGCCTTAATTTTCAATTTCTTCTCCCAGCAGATTTAAAATAGCAGAATCAACAGCAAACCTACTAATACTTCAGTATGACTGCTAACACATGTGGCATTTGTCTCCGGATAAACTATTTTTATCCTGAGACAATTTTTACTCTCTCAGAAATTTCCACTGGTAGAAATCGTTCTAGAAAAGGGAGTGTGTGCAGATGCCCCAGGGTGATCCTGGTCTGGGGGAGGTGTGGGAAGCAGTGGCTGCTCCACTCCTCCCAGTCCGTGGGGCGAGTGGAACAGTGGGGAAAGACTCCCCATGCCTTCTCCAAACCAAGGCAGGGAGCAGCTTCTTCTTCTCCACTCCTGGTTTCCAGGGGCAAAACAGAGGCAACAGATGAGCAAAGCCCCGAATCCATTCCCCAAGTTGGGCAATGCCCAGTATGGTGAAGAAGCAGGGAGCAGTGGAAACTGATTCACTCTCTTCTCAGACTCTAATGGGTAGGGAACAGTGAAGCAAAACCCCTTGCCCATTCCCCAAATTAGAGATCCCCAGCCTGGGGAGACAGCAGGGAGCTTTGGGGGATGCTCCAAAATCATCCACAATAGGACTGGAGCAAGAAGTCAACCCTCCCACTCAATCCCCACACCCGGGACCCTGCTCTCATCCCCCCCAGACCAGTCCCTGCAGAGAGAGCAGTGACTATCCTGTATGTGGCCTGAATGCTTTCTAAAGGATTGCACTGGAGCATCAGATATTAATTTGTGACCTAGCTCGTATGCATGCATTAAATGATTACTACGACTCTCTATGAAGACCTCAAGGAATCTGAAGGAAGATATCAGATCCAGTTTTTCACTCTACTGAATTATTTTCACATCAGTATGAATACCCTTCAGTTCCCCATACAGCTCCATGTGTGCACTAAAATCAAATACGTATATCCATGTACATACTCGAATATCTATGCTGGATCCATGTGTGCATGGTACTTCCTCAAATGTTAAGATACTTGTGTACGCTAAGATAGTATACTCTTTATTAAGTATGGCACCCATTTTCCTCCACAATCACTTCTCCTGAAAAATCCATTCTAAAATAGCCTGATTTTGAGCTGTGAGGAAGGGGACAACATATAAAGATATAACACTACATTCATGAAGAGACAGAATCCCTTTCTTGAAACTTCCTATGTTCTTAAAATATATTAACTAGATTTACCTCAAGCCATAAGGACCTGAAACTTAAGGACCTACCATATCAAACTTCATGTGAACTCATGAAATACTCATGTGAATTTGGGGCATATTAAAATTAACTTAGAATTTCATTGGAGATTCAACCATCACAAGTAGGATTTGTTTAAACTTGCAAGGGAAGGTCTCTCAACTTTAAATAATTCATTCGCTCACAATAAAGATTCCTAACTAAACTTACATGTAAACATATAAAGTAGAAAGGAATTTTCTACTTTCTTTGACATTCCAAGAACCTCATATAAAAGAAAAGTGCAATGGAAGATTTTAGTATGTTTAAATTTTTCCATCAATATAAGAGAAATAATTTTAAAAGGATCTGAAATCTAGAAAATCCAAAATCTGCAGGTGAACATCTACACACTGAACAACAGCTGTGTTAATCTCTACTAGGGTTTTTGGAAGGGATCATCAAAAACACAGAAACACATATTCTCTCAGAAATCATAGGCACTAAATATAAGTTTGTAATGTAAGTCATAAGAACATACCAAATTGAAGTTAACTTTAAACATATTGTGCAGTATTATGAGGTATTAGTCTGTTTTAGGAATTGATCTTGAGGTTTTTGGATCTGTTACCTACCACCAGGGGAATTTCTCTTCCCCCCTCCTCCCCCCACACGGTCAATATGAACAATATAAACAAAGACTGTTGTCTTCCTTAAATTTTCACCAGAAACCAAAAAACCAAACAAGAAAAATCACTGCTTTCTTCTCCACTTAGAGTCGAGAAACATCTCCACTTATGAGTCAAGTAGACTCAACAACTTGATGAAACTTGGACGGGATTCAATTCTGCAAGCTTTAGTTAGGTAAGCTTCTACTGAATTTAATGAGCAGAGACTACCGGATTGAAATATTAGTTCACAATTATAGTCACGAAAATCAGGATAAAAAATGGGGGTCCGATGGAGTCAAATCTCAGTGGTATCTTTTAAGAATGTAAGGAAAAGTCAGAAGGCCATTGATCTAAGTGTGGAGTGTTACTAGCAGGAGGAGGAAGAAACAGGCAAAAAGTGAAAATTGAGATCTGAGATCCAAATGGCTTGTGAGAATCTAAACCACAACCCGATCTTCCTTGTTTTGGCTTAACATTTCTAGAATTTAAGGAATTAACTCTTGAGGTTATGGGTGTCACAGAAGGAGTAAAAATAAAACTGGAAAGAGCCACCCCATCCGCTCACCCAAGGAAAGAATAAAGGGTAGAGGAAAGGTAAAGCAAGTTTTATGTTTCGTCTTTCTTCTAATGTTTTGTCTTCAGGTTTGAAGGGAGGCTGGGACCCTAGCACCACATTTATAATACAATCACTTACAACAACACAACCTCATCAAAAGTATTATCTGATAAAACAAAAAGATAGACCCTGAGGCTCTACAAAGAGGTTTTCATTTTCAGTGATTTAAAGATAACTAAAGAAACTACATTATTTCTGCACTAAAACATTTAAAAATTATCAACAAAATAAAAAAATAAACCCATGATGCAGTGCACATCCCCTTTATTTTCTTACACAAAACATAACCATTGCCTCCTTAGAGAGGCACAAATGCTGTTCCTTCAATTTACCAACAGATATTAAGAACATTAATTATAATCCTTTTCCCTCAAAAAGAGCAAACTGCTGTCAGTTCCCAGTGACTTCAAAAGCAGCTGAGGGTGTACTGCAACTTGTAAGATCATGACTAAATTAAG